TTAAGCCAAGCATAATTTAAAGCGCGCGGGCAAGACGTCACACACACAGCTACGTTCATTGGCTAAAACAATCGAGTAGCGCGGTTAGTGATTTTCGGAATTATTTAATTTTAAGAAAAACTTCAATGTTCAATGAATGACGCACTCGTTCACTTCCGACAGCGAGTGAAAATGCCAAAAATTTCCCACTTCGATGCGAAATGCATCGGCCGGGCATTTCATTATTTACGAAACGTAAACAGGCTGGCGAAAGACAGTCGGTACAGTAACTGGTCACGTCGGTGACGCCCCATTCATGTACATCAACGAAGAAGGCGGGGCTTATTCTGATTACGGAGATGCGAAAATGCAACAGAAGGACGTAGCGCAGTGCGCTAAACAGCGTGTTATTTTCGTATTTGTGGCAAACTCTATCGTAGGAAACTGTTCTAACATAGCAGAATGCTCTAGTTCCTGAGATCGGCGATTTGGTGGTGCAATGGGGCCCCATCTTTAAAAATATCAGAGTCTGGTGCGGCGTAGGCTGGGATTGGAAGACACAAAGTGTCAATCCTCGGCGTGCCTCGGCATCATGGCCGCATCACGTCCAGGATTTTTGAAAGGGAGGTACGTGTCCAAGAAGAAATAAAGGGCACCTTTTCCTGCTTAATTTTTCTTCTGTTTTAAAAAACTGCAGAAGGCAGCTTATGCGACGTGCCTTCGGCACGTCGCCACTTAGGGGTTGTTAATTTGCGGGACCTCCCCCAAGAAATTTAAAAAAATTGGTGCATATTCTGAGAGCATATCTGAGCAGTAATTTTTTAGGGCACTGAAATTAAAGGGGGGGTCTGGACTCTAGACCCCCCGTACACCCCACCTAGATCCGCCCCTATATATATGTGTGTGTGTGTGTGTGTGTGTGTGTGTGTGTGTGTATATACATACATACTGTACATATTTACGTACATACATCAGTAAGGACTTCACCTGCTGGTAAGCGTCGATGAACAGTTCTCTCTCCATCGCTGCGTCGCGCAGCAGCAGGTAGAGATTATGCGCCCGCTGCGTCAGCGTCATCGCGTCCGTCACCGGGTTGCGTCGCATCGGCGAATAATGCGGCACGTAGGACGGCGGCGACGGCACGTGCAGCGCCAGCGCCACCTGGGTACCGAGCGACGCCGACGACAAGAGAACGTAGGGGAGATCGAGCGAGCGACGCACGTACGCAAGCGCGCACGCGTTCCAAAAGTCGTCGACGACGGCGACGTCGAAACTCGCCGCTCGCAGCCGCCGCTCGAGGGCGCTGGCGTGCAGCAACTGTCGGCACTGCGCCTGTAGGTGGCGCCCGAAGCGGCGCAGGTCTTCGATGGGCGTCCACAGCTCCGGACGTCGCCAGATCTTCTGCATGAAGGCGGCCCATTCGTCGACGAGTTGAGGAGCGGTGGGGAAATCCAGCACAGCTGCTTCGATGCCTAGATCGTCCAGCTGCGCTCTCAGCTTCCCCGCCTGAGGCCCGTTGAGTAGCATCGTCACGTTGTGTCCGCGTTGCCGTAGCAACGCGCCGACGCGCGTCATCAGCATCAGGCGACCGCCGAAGAGCGGCGTCTGCGCGAGAAGGATGTTGTGCGCGTGCGTCGTCGTCATGGCGATGCAGGCGACGAGCGCCAGCAGGTGGCAGCAGCATCGCGTCGGCCGCATGTTGTCGGCGAGTCTTTGTCGCAGCGTACTCACAAAATGTACAGGCAACTAAAAGCTAGACCTAGTCCTCGAGTTACTCCTGGTCACGCACAGTTACTCCTGGTCGCGCACAGTCACTCCTGGTCGCGCACAGTCACTCCTGGTCACCCACAGTTACTCCTGGTCATCCACAGTTACTCCTGGTCACCCACAGTTACTCCTGGTCATCCACAGTTACTCCTGGTCCTCCACAGTCACTCCTGGTCATCCACAGTTACTCCTGGTCATCCACAGTCACTCTTGGTCATCCACAGTTATTCCTGGTCATCCACAGTCACTCCTGGTCACCCACAGTTACTCCTGGTCACCCACAGTTACTCCTGGTCACCCAGAATCACTCCTGGTCACCCATAGTTACTCCTGGTCACCCACAGTTACTCCTGGTCACCCAGAGTCACTCCTGGTCATCCACAGTTACTCCTGGTCACCCACAGTTACTCCTGGTCACCCAGAGTCACTCCTGGTCATCCACGCTTTACGCTGACGACTCACAGCTAGTAGCAACGATCAAGCAGGGAGAGTACGAGAGGCTCTAAGAGAGACTAGCCGTACTGGAGCAGTACAGGTCAGTAACACGGGCGAAGACCCACAGCTGAGCTCGCAGAGTGTGCTGACACTGGACTTGTGGCCTGGGCTATATATATAACTGCAACCAACTAACGTTGGTAACTCTAAAGCTCCCTCTGGTGCGAATCACGGATTGGAGTTATGTGCGAGGCAGAGCGACGCTGGATTCTGCCTGTTTAATTATAATCACCTATGTGTGTGTGTGTGTGTGTGTGTGTGTGTGTGTGTGTGTGTGTGTGTGTGTGTGTGTGTGTGTGTGTGTGTGTGTGTGTGTGTGTGTGTGTGTGTGTGTGCGCGTGCTCGTGTGTGTGTGTGTCTGTGCGTGCGTGCGTAATTGCGTGTGTGCGCGTGCGTGTGCATGCGTGCGTGCGTGCGCGTGTGTGTGCGTACGAACCTGTTTACCTGTCATCTGTCAGCGGCGGAGCAGACGAAGACAGGTGAATGCAAAACGACGACCAATTAAGGCTGATTAGTACGTCGCCCCGGGACGTCGGCCGCGTCTGCTATGCAACCGACCGTCGGCACGCGTCTACGGATCTGCGTTTACCTAGAATGCTAGCGTACTACGTTAACTAGGGTGTGATTACCGTGCTACTGCCTGCACTAGCCTTAACCGCTCGCAACCAAGCAACTGCGAGCGTTTTCAAGATGGATAGGGCGTCTGTGATCAGCCACTACAGACGTAGAGCTCGGATGGGATTTAGGCATTAGCTAAACAAGCTACAGTCTGAAGGGGCCTCTCAAGATCTCGTATTTTATACATTCGTTACAGTTTTATTATAATAATGGATAATGGAATGATGCAACCCAAACCCTAACCGAATCTCTATTCTACACTCTGTGTAGCTCTACTATATTATACTCCATGCATATTTACTGTATCCTCTATGTATCTCTACTCTACACTCTATATAGCTCTACTCTCTACTCTATTTATCTCTACTCTATACTCGATGTATTTCTACTCTATACTCTATGTATTTCTACTCTATACTCTATGTATCTCTACTCTATACTCGATATATTTCTACTCTATACTCTATATATTTCTACTCTATACTCTATGTATCTCTACTCTATACTCTATATATTTCTACTCTATACTCTATATATCTCTAATCTCTACTCGATATATTTCTACTCTATACTCTATATATTTCTACTCTATACTCGATATATTTCTACTCTATACTCTATGTATCTCTACTCTATACTCGATATATTTCTACTCTATACTCGATGTATTTCTACTCTATACTCTATATATCTCTACTCTATACTCTATATATTTCTACTCTATACTCTATATATCTCTAATCTCTACTCGATATATTTCTACTCTATACTCTATATATTTCTACTCTATACTCGATATATTTCTACTCTATACTCGATATATTTCTACTCTATACTCTATGTATCTCTACTCTATACTCTATGTATTAGAGAGCACCATAGTTCTAAAGCTGCGTAGTATATTCCCTTTGCCACTACTTTAGCTCCTGGCTATATCACCACTCTGTAAGTAGTAGCTACAAGATAAACCACTACTCCAAAACGAGGAGCATATACTGCAGTAAGCAAATCACTATTTCAATGCATATAATAGGGCTCATAGGGTCTATGTCCCTCAGGGTACTGCCGGAACGTACCCTGGTAACTATCTGATATGGTTAGGGTTAGGGTTAGGTAGTAGGCGTAGGCGACTCCCTAGACTCGTTAGTGGAGTAGAAGAGGTACGGTCCGGCATATTAGATAGTACCAGCAGAGCATATAAATCACGTTGATTTATATGCTCTGGTACCAGGGTACAGTCCAGTGTACCAAGGGTACGTTCCGGCAGTACCCTGGAGGACATAGACCCTCTCAGCTATAATAGGACATATGTATTTCTTGAACATGCTATTTGTTGTGCTGTAATATTGTGCTGGGGTAGTATACATACATACATGTACATATTATATTCAATTTTATATATTTGCAATGAGTATTGATGTCACACATCTGTAATAACTGCACAATTTAAATTATATTTATGGTGGTTAACCAATTATTTTTAATTTATCATGTTAGTATCCCTATAAAAAGAGAGCAAAAATATATCTCAAAACATATGAGACATAAGCTCATCTTCTTACCAGAACAGCCACTCGATTCTGTGATATAAATTTGACAGTTGGTATTTGCATTTATAACAATTTCAGCAAAAAGTGCAATTTTACGATGACAATTTAACAATTTTTTCGCATTTTTATATTTTATGGTGATTTAATACGTAATAAATCCACTTTATGACAACGTAATGACACGAGAAACACACGCGACACACGAGTTATATTTACAAATCACTGTCGTGACAGCATTTTTATTATTATATATCTCACATACATGGCACTGACCTGTACAAGAGACACAAACGCACACGTACACACACACGCACATTCACATGTAACTACGAACTCCGTGCTTCAGATTTTCGACGCGCACGCGCGCACGCGCACACGAGCGATTCACACGATAACTAAATGCCACTTTTTTACAATTACATTATTTATAAGGAAGCTAAAAGCGCGATAATCTACAATAATAATTAATAATTTATAATCGCTCGTGCCTAGCAGCATGATCCAGAGACCGTGGCGCCATCTACAGGGCGTCTCGCAAACACAATCAGCCTACTACGTATGTACAAGCGTGCCTCTAAAACACGAACTATCGCTCCTTCGCCGCCCCCGCCCGCATCGCCGCGCCGCTGTCACTAAAACCCGACGTGGAAGCAAAGTAGAACGCAATCGCGACTTCACATGTGACTGCTCTCGTACACGCGATTGCCGATTGTAAGGTCGAGAATTGAAACCTTTCTAATTTTTTGTACTAGGCAATGCTTGGGTGGACCTACAATAGCTACCGTCCTCCCGTCTGGTCTTCATAGAGCTTTACGTGTGTGTCTAGTGTACAGATGCGACGATATCGATCGACCGCAATTCGACACAGCTTTAGCTTGAGAACTAATACCGCATGTGACTCTTTAGATTCGACAAGTTTTTGAAAGAAATACCACGAAATTTGCCGCCTAAAATTCCGACTGTCAGCTGATAATTTGCCACCAGTCAATTTGAAATACCGAAACGGAATACGGACGAGCACCCAGCGATAGCAAGTACGTTTTTAGCACGCACAATAATGCCTTTTTCGGTCCGGTTTTTCGTGCGGTCGGTGAACTTTGAGAGAGTTAAGCACCAGGTAGATAAAGAGAGAGCGAGTTCAAATCGAGAAGATGTGTCCAAAGATGTCCGAAGGCAGGGGTGAGTAGAGGGAGCCACGCGGTCGAGGGGGCGCCGTCGTTACTCTCGGCGACACAGGGGAAAGGGGGCGCCACGTCATATTTTCCGACACTAACAGCTCGTCTAACCTTCAGTCATCGCCTTCGAATCCTTTCATCGCGGTCGCCATGGTAACCGGGCGAGCGCGGAAACGAGGGCACGATATAAATACATATATTAATTGACTTCATCGCCGAGGCAACGGCAGCAACGGGGGGTCGCCGTTCATTCGCTCGATGACCGCCAGGTGGCGCCAGCGTCGCATCTTGTCGCCGTGATTGCGGTTGAAGAAGCAGCGACGAATTGGCGGTTTCCTGCGGCGGCCACCAGATGGCGACAGCCTCAGCAGTTCATGCAGTTGCCACTAGATGGCGCAAGCAAGCAGCTCATATGATGACTCAGCAGTTCGCAGAACCACCGCTAGATGGCGTAACTCGGCATCCCAGCTGTTTTCGGAACCGCCGCTGGGTGGCGCTAGCAGAAGTGTCATCAAGCACCTCAACGGCTCGCACACGACCGCCACTAGATGTCGCCAGCGAGGCAGCACGCTGCCGTAGTTCGCACGATCGCCACCAGATGACGCCACGCTTCTCTCGGACGACACCTCCGTAACTCGCTCGGCGACCGCCAGACGGCGCTACCACCACGCTCTTCCGAGAGACGACGAATCCGTAATCTGCGCGGCGGCGCCCACGCCGACGTAGTTTGCGCGGCCGCCGCTAGATGACGCTAGCGGGCAGCTTGTCGAAGACGTCGCCGCTGTTGCGAGTGACGGAGCCCTTGCGGCGCGGCAGCGTTCCTCCGCCGGCCACCGCCGCGTCCGGGCACCCGTTGTTGACGAGGATCGTCACACACTCAGAGCTTCCGGAGTTACGAGCGTAGATGAGAGGGTTACGCCCCTCCTGGTCGACCGCCGCCACGTTGGCACCGTACTGCGGAGGGAGAGGGAGAGAGAGATTAGTATAATACATACAGGAGGAGGAAGAGAAAAGAGGAGAGAGAGAGAGGGAGAGGGAGAGGGAGAGGGAGAGAGAGAGAGAGAGAGAGAGAGAGAGAGAGAGAGAGAGAGAGAGAGAGAGAGAGAGAGAGAGAGAGGGGGGGGGCAACGGAAAACGCGCGCGCGCGAGAAGGAGAGGCAAATAAAGAGAACTTACTAGAATATTTACGTTCGAATTCGTTCTCTCTGTTTCTCACAATACAGATACATACGTTAAAACGTATCTTCGCGAGGAAGACAAGCGACTGCTGAAGCGAAAGACCAAGGTCGTACGAAACTGCAACTCTCCAGATTACAACCAGGTGCTGAGGTACTTAGCATGCGACGTACTCGGCAGAAACATACAGGTAAATGCTATATTATGTGTGTATATATATATA